CGCATTTGCCTGGGAGAGGTGGTTCGGGCTCTCCGAGGGATGCGTAGTGGGAGAGCTTTGGGACCAGATGAGATTCCGGTGGAGTTTTGGAAGCATGCGGGCCGTGGTGCGTGGGTTTGGTTAACCAAACTCTTCAATGTTATCTTTCGGACAGCAAGGATGCCTGATGAGTGGAGGGAGAGTCTCTTGGTCCCCTTGTTTAAAGGTAAAGGTGACATTCAGAGCTGCGAGAATTACAGAGGCATCAAACTCCTTAGCCACACCATGAAGGTTTGGGAGCGAGTCATTGAGTATAGGGTGCGAAAAGGGGTATGCATCTCTGAGAACCAGTTTGGTTTCATGCCTGGCAGATCGACTACAAAGGCCATTCACCTCGTGAGGAGGTTAATGGAAGAGTATAGGGCTAGGAAGAAGGACCTTCATATGGTGTTTATTGATCTTGAGAAGGCGTACGATAGGGTGCCAAGGGAGGTCTTATGGAGGTGCCTAGAGACGAGAAGAGTTCCCATCGCGTACACTCGCGCGATCAAGGATATGTACGATGGGGCTATGACTAGGGCAAGGACCTCCGGGGGCGACTCTGAGTCATTCTCAGTAGGGATGGGGTTGCACCAGGGTCTGCCCTTAGCCCTTTTTTGTTCGCCTTGGTGATGGACGTCCTAACTCAAGGTGTTCAAGAAGGGGTCCCATGGTGCATGCTTTTCGCGGATGATATCGTGCTTATCGACGACACACGTGAGGGACTAAACGATAAGTTGGAACGATGGCGCCTTGCCCTTGAGACTAAAGGATTCAGAATAAGTAGGAACAAGACTGAATACATGGAATGTCGTTTCAGCGGCCGGGAAACAGAATCAGAAGTGGAAGTTAGGATTGACTCTCACGTAGTACCTAAGGTAGACAGGTTCCGATATCTTGGCTCGGTAATCCAGGCGGATGGGGAGTTAGACGGGGATGTTGGACATCGTGTTGGAGTGGCTTGGGCCAAATGGCGGTTGGCCTCAGGGGTGTTGTGTGACCCGAAGATTTCACCCAGGATGAAAGGTAAGTTCTACCGATCCGTAGTCAGACCTGCTATGTTATACGGGGCAGAGTGTTGGGC